CCGAGAATGCGGAAGGAAAGTCCTTCAGCTGCTTGGTCCAAGGTCCTGCTGGAAGTGGTAGCTCTTGCGGCTCTGGTACATCCCGTGTCGCCATAGCCTTCCCTGAAAAAAAGGCAGCTCAGTCAGCGTTTTAAAAGGAGGACGGAAATTTGACCAACACAGTTTTTTAATGGGTTTGGTGTTGTTTTGACAGAATTAACCTAAACTTGCGAAGTAAGAGTTCATCTAGGGTAACAACCCCTCAAAAAAAGCCTGCTGTAAACTTTGTGCTAAAAAAAGAGCGTTTGCTATTAGGCAAACATGCCAGCTTTTGTAATCTACAACTTCTTGTGCACTTTCGAACATTACACAGTCGAAGGAGCATTCTGAAAGCAAGCCACGCACTGGCATTGGGGACAAGCATCTCCAGTGTCACTGAGCTGCTTGTTGCTGCTGCCCTGTCAGTGTCCATGATATAGTGCAGCTCTGAATACGAAGAACGCGTTTTGACCATAATCCGTTTCGTGCCAGCAGCATAAAGCTGCTGGCACGACCGTGAAGTGTTGTACAGGAGTGGCAAAGACACTCCAGCTTTCAATGCGTCAGTGTTCGTCCAAAAGAAGCAGTTCGCAGAGCCACTAAAAAGTGTCTAGCATTTCATATGCACGCGCTTGCGTGAAAACGGGATGATCAATAAAGATATGCACTCGCGGGACGCTGTGTTAGCGCGGTTCGCAGGGGCAATCTTGCCTCACCACAGTGAGCGCGCTAGCTGAACTGTAATTTCGATAAACAATGGAATCTCCCCCATACTATGCATAAAACGCAGTCAGAACCCCTTCTCCCGCCGCGACGAAGAACCGAACGCGAAGGATGTGATGCTGCGCGGACGGTTGTTGACGAGCGCTGCCGAGGCACGCCGACCGCTGGTACAGCTTCGCAAGCGTCCGAAGGGCAAAAAGATCGCAACGACAAAGCACCGTCCCGAATGTTGAGCACGCAAGCAGTACTCGATATCCCACGCTCACATTTCACAGGGCGAGCGCATCACGAAGCGAAGGCATGTCGGCCTTCGCTTCGTGATGACTACTTTATTTCTCTGCTTACAGCGGTGACATTTGTAGTGATGTTCGAAACTGCTCTCTCGCGACCGCACACGAGTTAAATGAACGGCCTAGGAGCGGGATAGAGCGTAACGGCAACAGTCAGTACTCACCCCGGGAGCGGCGAACGAAGCGGCGTGGTGTCCGTCGACGGCCGCGTCGAAAACGATGGAATATGCACAAAAACACGTAATATACAGAAGAAATACAAAGCGCTGAACGAAATAGATACACTTATGAACAAGAAAAATACACTGGAGTAGATAAAAAAGAGGATTATTAAGTATAAACAACGAAGATGAAAAGTATGTCTAGGGCGAGGTGATGCGATTCCAACGGAGAGCAGCCAGACGACGGGGGCCGACAGAACACCGATCCCAAGATTCCTCGCGCGCGCGCCGGGGCGCTTGGGAGAGACTGCAAATGGTCTATTGGAGTCCGAGAAAACGCCGGCCTCAGAAACACCAGTTCTGGTTTTGTCAACGAGAGGGATGGGGAAGCAATATTATTCTTGGTGGTAGTCATCCTATAAGCTTCAATTATCTCCCTCCCATAGCGCTCCCGGTGTCCCCCAACTACTTTGGTCTCGTTGAACAAAGGCGTGCATGCCTGGCACTATAATAGGATGCAATGACCCCTCTGGCTGTGACGCGCATTCAATGTGGTGTTCTCGGAAGCTGCGCCTCCGAGAACACCACATTGAATGCGCGTCACAGCCAGAGGGGTCATTGCATCCTATTATAGTTCACGGTAAGGAGTGCCAGGCATGCACGCCTTTGTTCAACGAGACCAAAGTAGTTGGGGGACACCGGGAGCGCTATGGGAGGGAGATAATTGAAGCTTATAGGATGACTACCACCAAGAATAATATTGCTTCCCCATCCCTCTCGTTGACAAAACCAGAACTGGTGTTTCTGAGGCCGGCGTTTTCTCGGACTCCAATTGCACAACCTTGAACAACAAGACCCCCCTCGGCCTTCGGCCGTCAATCAGCTTCGTATGCGGAAACGCTATCTTCCCTTCCCTCCCCCCTTTTCTTCCCTCTCAACCTTCTCTCCCTTCTTTTCTCCCTCTTGCTCGTTCCCCCTTTCCCCACCGACGGTTGTTGGTGCAGACTTCGCTGGCGTCAAATATATGTTGTTGTAAACTGAAAGCTTGTACATGTCTGTTTTTGTCCCTCTGTTTGTTTTGTGCTTTCTTACTGTTACATCTGTCCCAACACGCTCGTCAAAGTCTCCATTTTTCTCCTTGTCTCAGCATCTTGTACAAGGGGTGTGCCAGCGTAGAAAGTTGCGGAACGAACTTTCCGTAGTAGTTCACCATCCCAAGGAACGACTGCAGTTGCTGCTTGTTTTTCGGAGCAGGAGCATTCAGTAGTGCAGACACTTTCTCAGGGGATGCGCAAACACCTTCGGCGTTGATGACGTGGCCTAGATAACGTAGTTCGTGCTGAAAAAACGAGCACTTGTCACGCCACACTCGCACACCACGTTCTTGTAATCTGGACAAGACGGCTTCGAGATTGCTGAGGTGTTCTTGCTTCGACTTTCCGGTGATCAGGATGTCATCGAGATAGCAGCTGACACGCTTCAGGCCCTTCAGAATATTATCCATTATCCTCTGGAAGATGCCTGGTGCTGATGAGATGCCAAAAGCAAGACGGTTCATGACGTACAGCCCTTTGTGCGTGTTCAGCGTTAGCAACTTTTTTGAGTTGTCCGCCATAACCACCTGTTGGTAAGCCCTGCTGAGGTCGATCTTTGAGAATTCTTGTCCACCAGTTAAGGCCGCCAACAGCTCATCAATACGTGGTATGGGGTACCTGTCCACCTCCAGGCAGGGATTGAGCCTAGCCTTGAAATCTCCGCAGAGGCGTATACTTCCATCCTTTTTTACTACAGGCACAAGGGGTGTCGCATACTCGCTGGTAGCCACGGGCGTGATGACTCCCAACTTTTCCATTTTTGCCAATTCTGTCTCGACTGCTGCTTGCAGTGCGAATGGAATGCTCCTAGCCTTCAGAAACTTCGGCTGTGAACCTTCACGAAGAAAAAGTTCGGCTGGTTTTCCAGAAATGGTGCCAAGCTCATCTTTGAACAGGTCGCTGTGGTTCTCCAACAAGGCGTCCAACTTTTGTTTGAGACTCTCCGACGTGTCGAGCCTGTTGACAGGGACCAGGTTCTTCCAGTCTAGCCGAATTTCTCGCAGCCATTCTCTGCCAAGCAATGCCGGTCCCTTGGTTTCCACGACGTACAGTGGAAGCTCCTTACTTTGGTCGCTGTGCTGCACAAAGACCAAGGCCAGACCCTTCGGCTTCACAAAGTCTCCTGTGTACGTGCGAAGTGTCAGCGTTGTTGGTTGTAGCTGCTTTCTTGGGAACAGCTTCCGAAATTCAGTCAAGGAGACAACGGACACAGCTGCGCCTGTGTCAAGTTCCATTGTAAGCTTCACACCGTCAACGTTATGGGTACGGTGATCGGTTCCAAGCCCGCAGCCTTGACCACTTGCAGAGATACCGCGTCGTGAACGGACGTCAGCGTTTTCACCTGCCTTTGTCGTTTCGATTTTGTCGGCTTCTTGTTACCCGAACGGCAGGCGCGCTGAATGTGCCCTTTCCGGTTGCACTTGAAACATGTGTCACCGACGTGGGGGCACGCATCACTGCGATGGTTGGTCGAGCCACAACGGAAACAACTTGACTGCTCTGGTACTTGCTTGTCGGTCCGCGCTTTGTGGTCGACCCGAACCTTGTGGACGTCAGGGACCAATGCACCGCTGGTGTGCGTTAACGCTGCACTTTTAGTTGCTATTTCCATCGCAAGATCCCTCTCTACCGCTTTCTGGAAAGTCAGCTTTTTGTTTTCTGTGAAGAGGACGCGCTGCACATCTTCTCGGCGAAGGCCGCACACAAAACGGTCGCGTAGCGCCTCATCAAGAAAGCCTCCAAAATCGCAGCTCTGTGCTAGATCTCGAAGTACCGCTACAAATTCGGCGATGGACTCACTTTCTTCTTGCGAACGCTTGTAGAACTTCGCCCTTTCCGCTATGACGGATGGCTGCGGCGCAAGATGATCGCCCAGAAGCTTGAGTAACGCGGTAAACGACTTTTCGGACGGTGACTGCTGGGCCGTAAGCGACTTCAACAAAGCGTACGTCTTCGGACCGATGAGACTCAAGAAGACATGGACCTTCTTACCTTCGGGAACCTCGTTTACCAGGAGGTATGACGCCAGTCTTTCTTCATAGGAGCGCCAGTCGCTCGTCGTATCGTCGAAAGACTCGATGTTCCCGATGCGGCTCATGGTCTTCGCTGGGGGGTTGCCGCTTGATGGCCGCTCCAGGATTCCGAGGCTGGACAATCCTTGGCTCCAGTCAAGCCCCCAGCAGTCAGACGATGATCCAACCCGTGGACCCGATGGCAGCAGGAATTCGTTGCGAGTATCTCATCCTCGTCGCCAATAAATGCGGTGTATTTACAAGAAAAACGGGTTACAGAAATCAGCCCGGTTAGAACACGGCTGCATGCTGTCGCTCGGGTAGGCAGTCAGTCAGTTCACGCGATAGTCTCGCGCGCACGCTGCACGTCAAGGCACGAGCACTGCCACACATATAACATTGCGTTTCCTCCCGGCCAAGCACGAGGCTTTATGTTTTGACCCAAAACGGCACCGAGTGTGGTGGAACGACATGCTTAGTGCCACAGTGCAGGATGACTTTTTTTTATTTTAAAGTCTAGAAATATTACGTGCCCCGTCATTCGCCGAGCTTCCTTCGTAGGTTGCAGCAGTTGGCTCTCCACAAGTGCTTCGAGGAAACGTATACGCTACAGGTTTCTACGATTCGAAAGCAAGGCGTATAGGTATACCTGACTAGTGTACTCGAATGTAGTGACCTTACACTGGGGAATTTTTCTGGCAGGTCGAAAAGGCCGCCAAAAGACTGCGGGAGATGGTGGAAAGAGTGAACGAGGTAAGAACCATAGACGCAGAAGGAACGCTCATGGCCGGATACAGAAAGCGGTTTTCCTCAACTCCATGGGACGAATATGCTGCGAAAAATCGACCAATTTTGCTCGGCGGCCTTTGCTCTGCGGGTGGAATCAGCACAGTGGTTTTTACGTCGCGCGCAAAGCGAGCGTGCCGTCGGGCGACGTTCGTCAGTTATTCGTCGCATAATTCGCTCCATTGAGTTCAGCCTTTAAAGTCGTAGTCACACTGTTCGTACATTGTACAAAGGACGCGGCTTTCCCTGTAGGCATGATGACAGTATCATCTGCCGACACGCCTAAGACTGTCCTCAGACTTGTCCAATGTATGAATAGTGTAATAGTGTATTAGTGGTGTATTAATAGTGTATTTGTAGTGTGACTGCGGCTTAAGGTCCTTGCTCTCACTCATAGAGACTACGGGATTCTTGAACATAGCATAGAGAGTTTTAGGGAACCGTTTATGCACATCCGATGCGGTAAGATTGGCCCTCCGATTCTAAAAGCTCATGTGAGATTCTTCTGCTGTAGCGCATGCGCAGTTCGAATTGGAGGACCCATCATCGGATGTGCAAAAACGCTTCGTTAAAACTCTCTAATGTTTCTATGGTTGGCACCTAACCGTTTCCGTTTTTGCACTCGTATAACGGACGGCCGTCATACACGAGTGCAGACTCGGAAGTACCGCGTTACAAGTAACGACGTGACTGATAATGCATTACTTTTCTTTTTGCAAGAAACACATTAACCTATTCCTTAAATTCTCTAAACGACTGACCACAGTTTTTTTTTTCATTTTTTTTTTTTTACTATTTGATGGTATCGATTGTCAAATTACGTTACTCCTTCCTTTCAACCAATTTTCGTTTTCTTCGTTTTTTGTTTAGTTACTTTGTGTTATTAAAACTTAAACTTCAATTAGTTCGCGTTCTATAAATTCCACCAAAAAAGATTTTCTTCTTCGCGGCATATTTTTTTTTTCTATATATATTCTTTACTTAGAAAACAATGAATCCAATCAAAATTTTTAAAAAAGTTCGAAACTTTTGATACAAATTTTATATATATATATAAACGCTATGAAATCACCCTGCAAAAGTTTAATTGTCATGAAAGTTGGCATCCGCAGTTTAACGCTGCAAAACAATACTGCAATCCGAAGCAACGCGTAAGTGCCGTTGATTAGTTCTTGCGAGTCACGCCAGCGGTATCCGTTACGTTCGGGGCACCGTAACGGGTCTTACTAACGCGTTCATTTTGAGACACTAACGAGTAACGCTTTATTTGGTTACTTATCTTTAGTAACGAGCGCAGCACCGCGATCGAGTGCCGCTTTTGAATTCGCTTGTTGGATTTTATGTTGCGAGAATTAACGCTGGAAATTTTTTTCTAAGATTCGTAACAAACCAGCGTCAATTACAATTTTTCTTTCCCAATATTGCAACAACAAAAAATATTTTGTTTGACAAAATTTGATTTTTTTTTTTTTTTGCGTTAAAGTAGGGCCAAATTGTTTAAAAGTTTAACTTAGCTAAAAAGTCTTATAGCTCACCCTACTAGTCGAACCTCGAGTTTCGACTAGAGCCTAGATTTTAGAGAGAGAGAGAGAGAGAGAGAGAGAGAGAGAGATCGACCAGACCTCGCGCAACGCAGCAGAGGTTGGTTGCACTATTTCTCCACGGGGCGCGGTGCCGTCGGGGCCGAGCTGCGCTCCGATTGCAAACCGAAACTTAAAAACCCGTCGAATGCGTGCGGTGTTTCACAAAGCCGTAAAATGCTGCGCGTGCCTTCTATCGTTCTGCAATTTGTTGATATAGTGTTTTTCGATGATGCTGAGCAATTTTTTAATTAAGACCATGCCCTTAACACAATAAAAAAAAGTTAATTACACAAAAATAATTAAAATTCTAATTATCCTGGACTTTAATAATTTTCCTAAATGGGCCCCTGGCCCAGGAACAAAACGACACGAGCCTTTTTCGTTGCGACGAGTAGTTTTCGCAATATCGAATTTGTCCACCTTTCGTGAAACACCCTGTACATTTAGCAGTTGATAGGATTCGAGCCTCTGCGTATAATTAACTTTTTTTATTGTGTTAAGGGCATGGTTTTAATTAAAAAATTGCTCAGCATCATCGAAAAACACTATATCAACAAATTGCAGAACGATAGAAGGCACGCGCAGCATTTTACGGCTTTGTGAAAAACTGGATACACCTCGTGCATCTATACCGGGAGGCTGCCCGGTATAGATGGTTCCAGTGCGTCCTTTCGTCGTTAGAGATATTTAAGCGGTTTGAAGGCACACGGTCGTAAACGGTCACATGTTTGTCAATCAGCCTCTATAGCCTCCACCGGGCTCCTGATTGGCTCACCGGATAAACGTAAGCGTCTATCCTGTCTCCTGTATTCTTCTATGGTTTCCTCGCGTTGCTCGCTGACTAACCATCTGTGAGCGTAAGCAAATCTGGAAGCTGACTAAAATGCTAGTTCGTGAATTCCTAAGTTCGCGTTTAAATTTGCCTCGGCACAGCCCCCCCCCCCCCCTTTTTCTCTCCCCCCCCCCCCCCCTTAAACCAGACGATGTGACGTCCATTAAAACGCGCCATTCAGGGTGCAGAAATTGACCAGTTGACACCCGCCGCCGGGTTTGGACTACGGTTAGGAATCTGCGGTACTTGGGTAGAAAGAACAATTAGTTAGTCAGCATTATCGCCCACAGAAAACACGAACCGACACTGAGCCAACAACCACAGCAGCATCAACAATCAGCCAAACAGCAGCACCAACAGTCCGCCAAACCACGCCGGAAATGCACACGCAAAATGTAAGTATATGGTATCGAGAGAAAAGCGCTCTCTTTGAAAGCGGTATTTAGTTTACATGAAAACCTTGCACGAACCTCGCTCGTGTTGGTGTCGGTCACACCGTATCAAGTGTCATGGAAGAGGGTGTTACCAACAGAGCGCAGTTGTTGGTCTGACGTCACTGCGCTCTTGACCAATAACGTTGCTGCGTCCAGATTGTGGGGGCGGGAAGGAGCGGTGCATACACCCCCCCTCCCCTTCACTGGGTAAGAACAGGGGCCGCGTAGTAGGAACTGCGTATTAGTAGAATCCGTCTCACCGTAACTTGGTAAACGACGAAGAGTCCCAGCGCACCAATCAGCTCGTTGGAGGGAGACACTTCTCGCAGCACTTAGTTCGAGCTTACCACGGAGGCTTGCCTGTCACTCAAAATTCACAAAAGCGGCTGTCCTCTTTCTCCCGCCCGTGGCTTCACAGCACTGCGTGCAACTATGGTGACATAAAGCGTAACCACGTGTCTCCCTCCGACGCGCTGTATGGCTCACTCAAACCGATAGCCTTCGTGGTTTACCAAATTATGGTAGGACGGAGTATTGTTGCATATCGCTCATAAGCGAAATGTCCCTCAAAACATGCCTCAAGTTGCTTCCATACCAGTGTTGAACAAGTTACTCGACAAAAGTATTTAAGATAAGTTATTAAATACCCGCCTCATTGTGTATTTAAAGTACTATCCAGGTTACTTTTACTGCAGAGTATTTCAAGTAGAGTACAAATACTTGCAAATGTAGTTCAACCACTTTCGAAAATGCTTCTACATTGCGCCATCTGTATCGACTTCGATTACACCAGATTGGTTTATTTGCAGTCAACAGAAGCAGACAACGCCACAGTGTTATTCTATGTGGTACCAGGACAACGTGGAGTATCTCCGGTGCTTTTTATAAGATAATATTTTCAGTATTTTTAAGACGCGGAAAAGCCTATTTTGTGCTTATTTTCTAATGCGCACCTTGTATGCACAGATTTACTTAGCGGCATAGTCATTATACCCGGAGTTCACGTTAAAGGGGCCCTGCAATGACTTTTTTACTAATTTTTAATTTGCACCGAACCTGAGCGCACTGAACGTAGTAACTTAGTGTAACTTTTATTTTCTCGAATTTCGCTTCATTTTAAAAGTTATAGGCAAATTAAAATTACAAAAACAAGCAAAAAATAACCTCCTTCATGACGTTCTTGAATGCTTGAGTGGCCGTGAACTAGAGGAGGGGTAGTGAGCTATGCGACCGCTCACGGCTGCCGCACTCCGTGTCGACGGCGCGAGAGAACGCCACTAAAGCATGTTCTGCATAGGCTGTGTGCAGCGGGCAGCCAGAGCGGCTCTCATTGCATTCGCTGTGCGATTAAACACTAATTTGGCATGACACTTTATTGGCCACAAACGACAGCAAACACGGGGTAAAGATCAGTTCAGAATGGGAGCCACTTCGCGACGGTTTGGCCGGGAAACGGCCAAACCGCTAGACAAAGCTGCTCGCCGAAGGCCTTCGGGACGCTCGGAGCCGGTCGGATCCTCCAGTCCCTACGACCGCAGTGCCGCCGCATACATTAGGGACCTTTCCGTGTCGGCGCCTGATCCCACTACTCCTTTCTAGTATGCGCCACCTTTTCCACCAAGCGGGTATGTCGACGTGTCGTTTCTTGTTTCCGTCCTTAATAAACGGTATTTGTTTCTTTTCTGATGTAAAATACTGAACAAAAGCTACTTTTATAAATAATTGAAACGGTTCCCGCCACTTATATTTTGTATTTCGGCTAAAAAGAAGCTTTTAGCGGCTCTGACCAGTAGTAAGCCCAGGACCAAAGACGTCACATTTTGCGCGCTTTCGGTACCGCGGGTCGCCCCCGTTGGTGGAGGAGGTTTCCGCGTCGTTCGGTTAAAATATGACGCACTAATAGGGAATTGTAGTAGATCGCTTTTCTCCTCCGCTACGGTATCCCCAAAGAAAACGGTGCAGCTGCGCATGCGCGCCGCCAGCCTTCCATGCATAGTTCAAGGTCTTGTGGCGGATTACGGAGAGCTATCCGGGTGCTTAGCGGGCTGCGGAAACGGTCTACTACAATTCCCTAATATTTAGTTACTCTCCCCGTGCCCGCTGGCTTGCCCGAATTCCAAGAGACGTGGAAACCGCAAAAAAGGTAGACGCTTAAATATGATTGCAGGGCCCCTTTAAACGACTTTTAAATACACAAACAAACAAAAAAAAAGTGAGTAACATGTCACTTCCACGCCTTCCTGAGAGGACTAGGGTTGAGGAATTAATCGATTAACCTACCGATTAATCGATGCATACTTTAATCGCGATTACTTTTTTTAACCGGTTAATCGGTAAAATTATGAAACAACTAAAAGAAAGCAAACATTAAATGCTTTCACCACGCAGACATGGACGAATACACCTACATGAAGGGTAACGTAAAGTAAACCCTCAGGGCAGGATTCGTAACTCCAGACAACCGCGGAAGGTTACACGTGCCCTAGCCACTTGAACGCCGTGCGAGTCTCCGTTTAGGGCAGCAAATACTATTGGGAACAATCAAAGGAGGCCGCCCTTGCCAGAGAATATCAACAAACCTCTTTGCCTCATGCAGGTGAAGTAATAATTTCGGTGTCTTTGTACTGTTCTCTCAACTACGTATCCCAGTTCATTCGTAATGGAAATTGTCATAAAACGATTTCCCTACTTCTTCCTCCTTAGCTTTAATTCTCAACTCAAACGCGAATTGTGAAATCACGTGGTCGTGACATTCCTTCGGCACCGGTGCGATGACTCCTAGGTTCCACCGTGCTTTTTATGCACACCATAGAACTTGTCATTCCCCAGTGACAATAAGTTCCGTCAGGGCACTCATTGGCCACGAACGCGAATCCAAATATTCGTCGACGGATTGATTGTTGACGAGCGCATACGTCCGAGTGACGCAGTTCTCGTGTCCAGTGCGTGAGCTGGGCTCTGTTGACGTCAGTTTGGCGCCGGTGACGAGCTTTTGGAACCGCGGATGTATCATAGTGAAAAGGCGGAGAGCTTTCGAAGGCAAGAAGGTACAAAATAGTCCGCTATATTTTCAAATGTTCGTACCGAAAAGCTGGCTTTTGACTTTCTAGCCTCTTTCTTTTGGTCAGCTAAACGATATGCGATTAGTAAAGTCCCAATTTAAAATCATTCATCCCAACCCAAAATTCGTTCCATGGCCCCTTTAACAAAGGCAAAAAATGTATATATATTTTGATCTTTAAAAAATATTATGCATGGTAATGAATGGGGCCAATTGATCGGGTTATAATTTTTAATCGTCGCCCAGCCCTTTTGACACCCCATCATGCTCGTAGCTTGTTTTCTGCATTGTTGGAATCATTTTCCTCGACTCAGGGTCGGGTTATCAACCATTCCCACAAACGGTGGGGATAGTTGCCAGGAAAATGGCAACCATGCCACACTTCTTGGCAACCAGGCCACTTTCCTGGCATGACAAAGCAAAACATACACAAAAAGCACATTGGAAACTTTTTTCCTTGCGTCCATTCCTTATTTGTGTATCTTGGTTGCTCTGAAGGCATTTTGAGTATGCATATATTGGATTCTGGCTTATTTCGTGTTTCGTGTTCGGTCGTATACGGTTCAAGTTTGCAATCGGTTGACATTTGAGCTTATGAGTGCCGGATCCTATTCCGGTAACATTTTCCTGCAACATGTTTTTTTTTTTTTTTAATGATTAGAAAATTTATTTTACATAAGGAATACAATGCACCGAGAAACGTAAATTAAGATAAAGTACCAAATGCTCTCATTGAAATGTATTTGGAAGATACCAAACTACTGCCAAAAGTAATTGAAATAGAGCATATCGAGCATAGTATATTCGAGATAGGCAGAAGTCTGTTTTGTACCCCTTTCCTTTTTTCTTTTTTTTAACATTTTACATTTTTACGTAACTTTTTTCAGCCCTGCACGGAGACGTATGTACGTATATGCATGTTTTCGTAATACGTTCTTATTTCTCTGCGATGTAAACCACCACCCAAAAATGTAAAAACACCTGAAGAGCAGCACCCCCTTTCCAGAACAACCCTTCTTTCTTTCTTTTTTAGAGCGCAGCTCCTAGGCGCCCGTTTCCGGCTCGAGCGGCGTCGCCGTCGCCGTCGGCGTAACCGCGCGGTGCATTATGGGTAAATTTCTCCGCTAAATTTAGCGTAAAAATTTCCCCGCTAAATCTAGCGCAAAACTTTCCCCGCTAAATCTAGCGGAAAAATTTCCCCGCTAAATCTAGCAGCAATATTTCCTCGCTAAATCTAGCGAAAAAATTCCCCGCTAAATCTAGCGGAAAATTTTCCCCACTAAATCTAGCGGAAAATTTTCCCCTCTAAATCTAGCGCAAAATTTTTCCCGATAAATCTAGCGGAAAAATTTCCCCGCTAAATCTAGCGGCAAATTTTTCCCGCTAGATTTAGCGGAGCAATTTCCCTCCTAAATCTTGCGGAAAATTTTCCCCGCTAAGTCTAGCGGAAAAATTTCCCCGCTAATTCTAGCGGAAAAATTTTCCCGCTAATTGTAGCGGAAAACTTTCCCCGCTAAATCTAGCGGAAAAATTTCCCCGGTAAATCTAGCGCAAAAATTTCTCTGGGGGCTCACGTGACCTGGGGGTCACGAGACCCCCAGGTCACGTGATCCCCCCTTCCCCCAAGGTCACGTGACCCCTCCCGCAGGTCACGTGACCCCCCGTGACCCCCCGAGGTCACGTGACCGCCCCCTCCCGATGACACGTGACCCTCAGTACCCTTTCCTCCTCCTCGAGAGCTGCGCTCTAATTTGGTGTAAACGGCTTTCACTTTTTCTTTTTTTTTTACTTTTTGGAATTTTGGGTTTGGAGACATTGCCTGTACTACTTTACTGAATGGCCCTTGGTTCAAACACCGTGTCTTTCGTATGCCGTATATATACGGGATGGTGAG